GTCAGTGAACAACGGCTCTGTGTAGTTAATGCTGCTCAATGTGAAAGCACGCACGTGATGGAGATTTACCGCTAATTACAGAACCGGCTTTCTGACAAGATGCGCGTTAAATATCGCATGCAATTTATCGTGCAGCCCTAGTGGAAATCATTGAAATAGTTAGTGGCCTATTCAAGCAGATTGCATTTTTGCATTTAAAAGCGCGAGACAGTAATGGAATTAAAAAACACAGAAATAGCCTCCTACACCGGCCCTCATTCACATTACTCCTCTTAAAGTCGGCTGAAGTGCTGCGGATCTTCTGGCAAAACATGGGAATTCATTCAGTGCATGGTTCTCTACTGGCTAGCATTCAGTGTACATTGATGCTACGCTCGTTATTGAGGTGCATGATGAGATTGAATAAATCCACTTACATTTTTTAAAGAACTACTTTTAAATTTCAGTGCCACATTTTTAGAACTCTGTGTCAAGTACGGGAGACACAGCAAAAGATGCGAGACGCAAGCGCACCGGTCAAACGTGTCCGTCTAGTGCATGTTTACATACAGTAGAAAACAATTGAAAAGCAGCAGTGGAATTCAACACATTCTTTGTGAATGGCCTCAAAGAGTAGTATGCTAGTATGCTGTTCTGAATTCAGCAACAGTGTTTGATGAGGCCCTGGCGACTCATCCTGTTTACTATTTATTCACTTATTAAAAAATCTTTTTGGAGATAAACTGATTCAATATTTATCTTCATTTTCCCCATATAAATAAATGGGTAACTATGGTGGGAGTGTTTCCCCAGTGGTAAACCATGTCAACATTATTTGACAAATTGCAGATTATAACTTTGATTATTATAATTAAAGCCTGCTAATTTGACATTATAAGTGTATGAAACAGCATTATGAATTGGTTAGTTCACATGCATTGCATTGCAGTGTTCAAATTGGAGGGGTGTGATGATCCAGTTAAAGGATAATTCACCCAACCTTTGGATACCAGCATTCTTTAAAGTATCTTCTTTTGTGTTCAGCAGAACAAAGTAAGTCATACAGGTTTGGAACAACATGAGGGTGAGTACACATGACAGAATTTTAATTTTTGGGTTTAAGTTGCCAGTTAGGCATGAAATTACCATAATGTACAAATAAATCATGTAACTGGTTCATTCAGTGTTAGCTAGCTAGATTGTTTCCTAGTTCTAGTTTGGCATGTCACCACTTGTGCACTTGCGTTATAGTAGTCAGCTTCACCGATTAAAATGGAAGTGTCTTAGCACTATAGTCAGTAATGGAAACATTCTACTTTATTGCTTCACCACTCACAATCTTGCTGTATAGATCTTTTTTTATTATTATTTAACAAAGTGTTCTGCTTTGACACGATGCATTGTGATCAAAATCATTAAATATAATTTAAAGCTTGTAGTCAACTCTGTTAATTATAATGTTAGCATTTTGTCGCATCGCTGTTGGTGTAGGTGTGAGATGAAGGCCAGAGAGGGTTGTGTGTAAATGTGTGCGTGTGTGTTTTCCAGCTTCATTGTCTATGATATCTATTATTGAGATGGACCCTCCTCGTCAGTAACCGGATACGACTGGACAAACACAGCTAACAGAACATTCCAATTAACTAGCGCTGTTGAAAGAGCCGCCGACTTACTCTGTGTGACACTAAACGCAGACAACAGATAATATAGTACAAATGGAAAAGTAGATGAAAGGAAAGCAGGGCTGTATAAAAGGTAACACATATAACATCACATACTGGTCCACAGTAAAGGAAAGCTCATACCACATTACATTTTTAAGGGGTCTGACAATGGCAGGCAAGGAGAATTTTACCTCAGGTCAAATTAACATCAAACCAGCAGTGATATTTCAACATGTCTGCATTTGCCGCAACATGCTGGGTCTGACACATCTAGTGAAAATTGTCTGTGAGATTATTTTCAAGAGAAACAGCCTGATCCAGAATTATAATTCAATTAATAATTTCTTTCTCTCTGAAATACAGCAAGACAGCTGGATGAACTACACCTCCCAAAACAAGAAATCAAGCTGACACAGGAATTGCACGCTCTGTATTTCAAGGATACATGTGAGTTGAAGTTGTTTTGGTGGCTCATAGACACTCCTACACACCAAACCTCCCCAAATCTGCCTGCCGATACTCTCCGGAGGGCAGTGAAAGACCTCCAGTAGGGAGGAAGGGAGGGAGGGTTTGGGGTCTTCCGCTGTTCACTATCATACGCAGGATGAAATGTATTAAAAGAGTCAAACTATGGGCTCTTTGTTAGATTTTCTCTGTTGTGTGGATAGTTCAGGGACTGATATCCATCTAGTCTACATTCACACCTCAGATGCTGGAAAGTTAATCAACACCAGCTAATGAGTATTCACTTCCTGCTCGGCGTTCTTGATGTTTTCGCAGTTTTTGGCATGTTTTGTGAAAAACCTGCCAAAAACGTTTAGTTAACATAAAAACTACAAGAACTAAATAAGAAATCGCATTT